GTCCGCAATGCGTTCTCGCATCTCCTAGTCATAGAATAGACGATAATTCTCTATAAAGATATCGCAACACGGACTGCACATAAAAAACTCTACATTATTCTACGAAAGAAAAAAAACATCATCAACTCAGCTCGGCTAAAACATATGACAGTTATGATGCCTAGACAGTAGACATATGTAGATGAAAATAAGCCCTAGCCCTCATCATAATCACAGTATTTTGAAGGCGTTAGTGATTGCGTTGCCAGGAAACGCTATGAAGAAAAACTCTCGTTACAAATCTCTGTCCTCATCACGGGGAACGTCTACAGAAATCTGAATAGTATTGAAGTTTGCGTATGTCCATAGCTCTCAAGCTTTCGGCATAGAGAGGAAAAGGAATGAGTAAGAACTGTAGTGTGATGATTTGGAAGTCATGCTTAGTCAGTGATGACTATCAAACCACTTAATGTTTTAACATTTCTTCTTGCTCTTTATGACTTGTATATGACAGAGCAATTAAAGTAAAACGTCACTTCATTGCACTTTGGCACTCCTTGACCAGGTGTTGCCCACCATGAAAGTGGCATTGGCATTTTGAACTGGATATTCATCATTATTATAGGCGTGCGGTTCGTAAGCCGTGACTGATCACTCATTAAAACCTTGAAGTCACGTGGGAAACCATAAGAAATATTTTCTCAGAAGTTATTCAGAAATATGCGGGCTGTTCTTATATCTCCTGTAACTTACCATATTCCGCTAAGCTGGTGACGAAGCTAATTCTGAGACGAAAGCTCTGAGTTTTGAATTCCTTTTTTGCAAAGCCAAAAGTTTTGAAAAAAAAGCAATTTCTCCCTTCAGTAAAGGCATGGATTTTTTATCGAAAACGGACAATAGTTTCCGAGAAAATTCGCTCTTGTACCAAGCAGCAGTTCTAGTGAAATCATAAAACTATGAAAAGGACTAGATGTGAGCTTGTAGAAATACCTGCTTATGAAGTTGCTATTTGAGTTTTGCACCAAAATTGTAACAGATTGTTTCAGAATTCTGCAAAAGCTGATCAATTATTGCAGCTCTTTTCAGCATAATATAGCATTTTGTAACGAGGAACTGATATGAAACAAAACAAAAAGGTTGAGAAATAGTTTAGAAGCATTCGCAGGCACGTTTTGACACACAGCATTCCTCAGCTAGGGAGAGTAGAACACACAAGAGTATTATGACCTAATATACCTTGCATACAAAACGTAAAATTTTTACAACCTTTGAAAAGGTGATCAATCAATGCCTATCTTTTGTATGTATAGTATGATCTAGCATTTTTGAAACGGACCAAAAAATATAAACTGAAACAAGACCAATTTTCCTTCTATTTTTGAAAAGTACAATTTGTGTCCCTTTATCAGCTTGTGTAGCAGCCATATGCCAATGACTTTTGCTCTAATCCTTAGTGGAAAAAATACAATTTCATCCAAACATCTCAGAGAGAACGAGTTCGTCTAAAATAGAAACCGCAACGAATTTGCAAATTCTGTGCCTGATGTCGGTAGAATTCAGATTTTCTCCAATGAAAATGAAAGTGTGAAAATTCGAAGACATATTTTCCTACACATTTCCTCCATTTTGATTCTCATGCAGAGGTAATCAATAGCCATCTATTATAGGTGGGATCTGTAAAACGTGCAGAAAAACCAGATTCTTCACTTGGGCACCGGCGCAGCAAAAGATGGTGACGGAGAGCGTTTTAATCGTCATTGCTGATCAGTGGCGATGGCGTTGAAAATGAGAATGGGAAATGGGCAAACTGCATGACATGAACTTCTTTACTGCAAACACACATATACTATGGTGATACATACACACATACACACACAAGAATACAACACGGACGTTTCATGCCTAACCGTAAGTGTGACCGGAAATCAATGCCAAGATGATGGGTAATATGCGAGAGATGAGATGGAATTTTAGGGTCAAAGAAGCGCGGAGTTTCTAGATTTCTAGAAAACGAGAGCATTAGTAGCGTAGCGACTACGAAAACTGACAAAGAAGACGCAAGCAGATAAGGAGTGATAACCCTGCTCGCTGCTAATTGGAATTTTGCGAGCAAACTAAGGAGGAATGACTTTCTAATCAAAGTGGCCATTTGGAATGGGATGTGTGCTACTGAATTCAGCGATGAAATTTGAACTCAAAACTGTAATCCTTTTCTGCGAAACGCATTTCTGAAGACGGCTGTAGCGTCAGAAACAAAACTGCAAAAGGGGTGCTTGTGACAGGATTCGAACATGCGAGCGTATGCGCAATGAGCGACCACACTCGCGCTGCACCATCCTTCCATGATTCGAAACCCTTGCAATTACTCAACACCAAGTGATGTCTTAACATGTCTAGCTTGTGAATTTATAAAAATAGCGCTTCGCAGATAAGGATTGCAATTTTGAGATCACCAATCATCACTGAGTTCAACAACATACATCCCATCTCAAATGGCTACTTCGACTAAAGAGACATTCCTTTAAAGGTCTTCCAAGTCACTAAATTTGTCAATACAATGAGTTACAAGGTCTATACATTAAATAACCGTGATCATCCTAGGACGCAAGCTCAGATTCAGTTGGACGCCTCGATGAGGAGTGGCTGATTCGCATTGTGATCGGTGGTGTCGTGGTTCCTTACGAAGTCAAGACAGCACTTCTCGTACTCCTCGCTGTGAATTCGGTAGTGCTGACAGTGCAAAGAATCCTTCCAGGTGTTCATGTAGGTAGTCACTCCTTGCTGTTCTTGTGAGGCTGCGAACGCTTCGATCGACTCCACGGAGCAAACCTGAAAAGCATTCATCCGACTTTTCTACATTCTTAAATTCTTGGAAGAGGAAATTACATTTTTTGGATTTTTGACTGGGAAGAAATTGCAATTGCTAAAAGATTTGACTTGATTTGACCCACATTCTTGCTTTCTTTTGAACGAGTATTTTATTAAAGCCAGCTAACTCTCGTTCGCGCCGGTCTTAAAGAAAAGAGCATTGTATTTTAGAGGAGACCACGGCTAGAGGCCAGAGGCTTAGATGGCCCTTTAAGCCCTTTAAGCTATGGATATGATATTTTCATC